TAGCGACGAAGAGCGTATTATCACGTTCACATCAAATTGGCTGTATAGGCTCTAATTTACATGCCCTAATCGTGAAACTAATTTTCTCTGGCTTATCTCGTATACGGGCGAAAGAAAATTGGCGGCTCCATGGTTTATTGATTAAGCTCGCGTACCGCAATCATGGAAATCGGAAGTAGTTTTAAGGTATTCGTTTCTGTAAACGTCTCATTAAATAAATTTCCCTAAAATTCTCGGGCGCTACTCGCACATTTAAAAACGGAAGAAATAACTACACCGGAGCGATATCGCAGTTCATAAAAACTAAATTAGTGGGCCAAACTCAAAGGGACGCCTGCCGGCTGTAGGATTTCTTGCGACGCTGGCCGGTGCGGTTCCTATACACGAACTTTTGATACCTTTTTCTTATAACCTCCTCAGCCGAGATCGATAATCCCGTCAGTTCTGTCAGAAGGAACTCCCCGCCAGTTTGACCCACTGCTTTAATTTGTGCAACAACCAGATGTTTTGTTTTGCCAGTACAATGAAAATAAAAAATTATTTTTAATAATTAACTGTGTAACTAGAATACCAATATGAAATTCTTTTTTTAATCAAGTAGAAAAACATTATTTATTATTATTCGCCTGCTACCAAATGATCAACGACGCACCCGTTTAAATTTAAGCAGAATCCCACCCTAATCTAACGCGTGGGTAAGTCTTATGAATCTAGCGTTTCGAAACCGCAAGGAATCCAACTGCCTGGCTCCTACAAACAATATATTGACAACAAGGCATGCCGTAGTCCTCAAATGTGTACATAGTGTCGCGTTTAAATGTGATACAAGCCCGTAACTTCTTTATTTTTTGGCCGATTTAATTTGTTTTTTAAATATAGGGTAAATATAGAATTTACAGGGTTGTATCACATCTAAGCGCGACACCCTGTATATGCTGCGACTAACGTGCGCCGTTGTTTGAGGTCCCAGTAGCTGGTCTTGGCTCGCCTAGCGGCGAGGTATGAATATTAAGAAGAAAAAATTAAAAAAATCTGTTTTACGACGGAATTTGAGAAAACAAACTTAGATGTTTGTTTCTAAATGTCAAAAGTAGCTCCACATAAATATCAAATTTTCTCGGTATAGGAAAAAGCGTACTTTGTGTTTGCGTCTGGCATTTGTTAAAGCGTTGCCCTGTATACGTAACTGGGTGTGGTTTTTTTGAAAAAAATAGTAATTGCAATTTAAATTGTTCGTGGTGCGTATGGGCGTAATACATATAATCCCATACAAACGTCCGTTTTATATTCAGGTTTGAAATGCGGTTGTCGTTTAAATTTTGAATTTCAATTTTCCACGCATGATTATTCCTAAAATTAAAAACACTCCGGCAAGTAAACGTCGGCCTGGCATAATATTTTGTTTAAAAACATTGCGTCAGCATCTTGCTGATTTCTGATAAAACGGGCAGTTCAGTTGTTGACAGATTGCCTAGCAGTGCAGTGCAGCAATGCGGAATTTGGTGTGATTTTTCGATATGTCATAACCAAAATTTACCACCAATACAATAAAATTGTTTGAGGACATAAATAATTAAAATATGTTGTTGGCCAAATGAACAAGACATGGACATTTTTTAGGGACGCGATTTTATTACTAGGCGTTTTTATACATGTACAACAGACACTGTTCGCTCAAAAGATTTATCGATCTTTCAATTTTTGTAATTTTAAATTATTTGAGGATTACAAAAGTAAAAAATTACGTGTTATAGAATCATTCAAGTTTCATTATTTTGATATTGAATGTCAGGTTGCTGCTTTCCCTTGCCCTATTAATAAAATTCTATTGCGTGCTTCGTCGAAAGCTTTCAGAGCTGTTTGTGCAAGAGATAAAGGGCGAAAGTATTAGGGAGACTCCCATAAAATTCGTGCTGATTAACTGGAGTCGTGTACGACTTCAGTTAATCAAGTTTTAAATGAAAAAAAGTCAAGTGTGCTAAAGGACACTTAACCCGCTGCATGGTGTTGATACGAGTAAATAAATTTCTTGTCTTTTACAAAAAAAAATAAAATAAAATAAGTAAATTTCGTGTTCACAACTAGGTATAGTAACCTGTAAGTATCGAATCGAAGCGAATGATCAAATCTGTTCAATTATATATTAATTTGATTACCAAACTTTCGGGATCTATTTTGGTTCGGTCTGAGGCTGAGGCGGGCACTGCTTGGCGTTTAGGATAATATATTTATTCTATTAATTATTACACACGCACCCCCCGTTTCCCCGGAACTGTAGCGGAACCGTAGAAACAGGCAGTTTCTTAATTTCTACTCAATCCTAAAGTCAATTTATTATACACTTGCGTCCCATCATCCGGAACCGTTCTTCGAGCTTCTATTAATACAGCGAAGCAAACAATTAACACCGAGATGGAACACACAAACAACAAAGGCGGATGTTCACAATAACCGGCACACGCAATTCCTTAACATTATTATGTAATTTCTGGGCATTGCCTCTAAATTGGAAATCACATCGGATGGACATAATACTCCGATATTATGAGATCTAACCTAACCCCGGAATATAGCGCGTCTCGTAATATGCGCAAATTGTTTCATTTCGATGACATTTTAGAAGCCATTGAAGTTTGTACTTAATAAATAGACCAGGGCGGATTTGTCGAAATATTCCACTTCTTGGATGTAAGAGGGGACAAGCTCATTTTTGCTGGAATATCTTCAGTACAAGTCACATAATAAAAGCGTAGATCCCTAGATGTTTAAAAATTTTTAAAAAATACCTATTTTATCTGAGTTTTTTATCTTGCAACCTATGCGTTTTGGAAGTGTATTGAAAAGGCAAAAAAGTTTCAGAATTGAATTTTGCACAATATACTGTAAGTTAAAAATGTTTAAATTTATTACCGATGTTGCAAAATAGCAGTAATTGATGGAAAAATGCAAAATAATCAAGTTTGTTGGATAATTTTTTAAAAATACTTTAATTGCTCCGAAGGCATTCTAATTTTGGTAAAAAAAACTTTAGAGTATGATAAAACAGCACACCAAATTTCATTAAAATCGGTTCTATAGTTTTCGCAAAATAATTTTTTGAAAAAAAAAATTAAAATTTTCAAAATGTTGCACAGCCTCAAATAAAGCATCTAGAAACTTGAAATTTTTTTCACATAGAAAAGACCACTTAACCTTTCAAACGGTTTTTAAAAAATCGAAATCGGTTGATTAGGACGGCCAAAAGTTAACACTCTTTTTTCTTATTTTTAGAATACAATTAGATTACTTTTATTAATTGCAATTTAGTTTGTTTCAAAAATTATAATCTTAAAGTACTCGGAAAGACGCTTCTCTTTTTAAAAAAAAAAGTTAAATTCCGTTTATTGGTTCTCGGGATATAAGCGGACAAAGTTTATTGGCATTTACCGTTAATTTATAAACAATTTAGGAATAATCTTTGATCCAGTGGCTTCGTTTATCCGAGTTCTAAGCTGGAAAAAAATTTCATATCCATAAGTTATCGGTAACATAGATAAATTATCGGAAAAGCTGCAGTTGGCACACGCGAAAAGTGACTCAAAACACGAAAAGTGGGGGAGGAGGGGGCTTTCACTCCGTAACTGAATTCCGAGGTTCAAAATGCGAAGGTACGAAAAAAATTGCATTATATCGGCTTCTAATGGACCAATTTCGATTTTTTTTTTATCGCGAACCAAGGAATTCGAATATTGTAATGCCAACTGTCTAATTTGCACATATTTTGTTGTAAACAAAGTTTATTATTTATGCATTAAATATGCTGTATATTTTACCCTTTACTATTGCATTTTTTTCAATGAAAAAATTTGTTTAAGTACATATTTCAACACTGAATATATTTAGTTATAATTATTACAATTATTTAAATATATATTTTTTTAAACATTAAAAAAATTTTTTTTTTGTTAAATACAGATAAAATTAAGAAAAAATAGTACTTTAAAATTATAATTTTTGAAAAAAACTAAATTACAAATTGATAAATGAAATCTAATTGTTTAAAAATTAAAAAAAAGCATATTAACTTTGATTTGAACCATTTGAAAGGTTGAGCGGTCTTTTCTATGCGGAAACATTTTTAAAACTCGAAAATTTTTTTCAAAATTATTTTCAAAAAATTATTTTGCGAAAACTATCGAACCGATTTTAATGAAATTTGTTGTGTTGTTTTATTATACTCTAAAGTTTTTTTTACCAAAATCAGAATGCCCTCGGAGCAATTAAAATATTTAAAAAAAAAATATCCAAAAAACTTGATTTTGCCCTTTTTTCATCAATTATTGCTATTTTGCAACATCGGTAATAAATTTACACATAAACATCAAACAGTATATTGTGCAAAATTCAATTCTAAAACTTTTTTCCGCTTCAATATTCTCCCAAAATGCATAGGTTTCAAGATATAAGTAAATAACTCACATAAAACAGGTATTTTTTTAAATTTTTTAAACATTTTTGCAATTTTGAAAATGTTCCGGACCTCGCCCAGATCTAGGGATCTACACTTTTATTATGTGACTTGTACTGAAGGTAATCCAGAAAAAATTTGCTTGCCCCCTCTCACATCCACCTCAAAACAGATCCGCCCTGGTCTAGTAAGCCAAAGGTTCAATTGTTATAACCAATAACTCTCTAAAAACGACAAAATAAGGGTTGGTAGAATACTTCAAATCTAAATAAAACCTCTTTGTATAATGGATGTCTTTGTAGCAGCTGTTTTTTACTGATTAGTCTTCGTCAAGGGTGATAAAAATACAGAATATTTCTTTTCATGATTGCACAAAAAAATAATTTGTAATATCTTCCAAATAAAGTAAAAAATTGCGAGAGCCAATAATAAAATACGTTTTTTAAAACTGCTTCTGCGTTTCCAATGTTAGTTTCCATTTCTCATTCCCCCTACAGGCAAATAATGACAACGATAACGATAACAATAATAAAAAAAAATATTTTATTTTCAGATTATAAGTATGACCTAAGCAGTGCCTCAGGCATGACCCAGGAAGAAACGATGCAGCCAGTTGATCCAGTTTGGATAGAGCAGGTTTTGAGCACAACTCGAAACGTGCAACAACAGAGTCTTTGGTGATTCAAAGGTAACGATATTTTAAAATTTTCTATAGTTAATCGCTTAAAAAAGTTTCAAGCAAAATGATAAATTTAATTATACTGGCGTTTCTTTAAAATTCTACAGAATTAGCGTACCTTTTTTTATGTACCCTTTTTACTAGGTATCTTGAAAATCCTTCGAGATATCTTATTCCTACTTTAAAATTAGACTTGTACGGTCATTTAGTGAGGGTGGCTGTCACTATTTCATCCCCAGCTCTTGTAAAGTTTCATAACATTGTTAGAATACGCTTAAATATGTCTATGAAACAACTTAGTAGAGTTGTCCCTTAAATAATGTTTTCGTTGTAGCAAAACAGCAGAAAACATTGCAAAATAAGTCTGGATTATCTTGAACAAATTAACAATTAATGACTGTTTTCAATGATATTTTTTGAAATGTCCATATTCCAAAGCATATGCCGTTAAATATGGCGATGAAATAGTGACAAAACAACAACGCAACTTTAAAATAATATATCTCCTTCGCTGTCTATTTTGGGAAAAGACTAAATAAAAGGCCATATTTTAAAAAATAACACGCTGATGTAAATAAAATATATACAGTGTGTTCTAAACGATGAAGCTACATTATATTTGCGATAATACAGGTCGATATCGCGGTGCTACTAAATATCTTGTAATTGAAGATCATGAAAATGCGCGCGACCTTTTACGGCCGATTTTAATTATTAAATTCCTGACATCCTCAAGAACGCTTATGAGCAAGGGAGGATAAAAGCTCAGAAAACGTTCACCATCTGCGACTTAATCCTTTAAACGCGAGCAGAGTAAATATTACACAGATTTCGCGGAAAACAACAGTTTCCCTCACGGCTCCCCATCCTGCGTAGGTACCACTTTGTGAGATATTAATTTCAATATTAATAAATATTTTATAATACGCTTAACGTCGCGCCGACAGACGTCTCGAGAGCGTTAATGAAGCGTTCTGGTCCGTCTCGTTCATATTTTATTTGTTTGCGCAAGGGTTGTTTTATGGAGACTTCATTAAGTCGAGAAATCTTGTCGGAACTGGGAAAAAAATTTTTTTTTGAGGTTTTTTTCATATTTTTACCGCAAAAGAACAAAAAAAAACTTTATGTTTTTCTTCAATTTAAACGTTTTTTGCGGTAAAAATCTGAGGAAACCTCAAACAATTTTTTTTCCATATTAATCATGATTATGAAGTTATAAGCTCAAAAAACGTGACAATTTAATTTTTATCAAAAGTTTGACTGTTTGAAACAAAGAAACGGTTGGCTAGATCGAGATAAAACTTCACAGAGTTCTTTTGGATATACCGAACTGTAAAAGTTATTTCGTGAATATTTCTAATTTAGCCGTCAATTTTCTAAAAAAACCTAAATTACCCTGTTTTTTTAAATTCGTGTAAAAAAATGAAAAAAAAAAAATGTTTCCGAAAAGTTGCGGCGGCATGTTATAGGAAATTTATTCCAGTTTTCGAAACTGCCCTTCAATTCTCTGTACGACCATTTGTCGCCGAGATATCGATGATTGAAGACAAAAGGATCCTTTCCCATTAAAAGTCCGATATTTCGATGAAAAATGGTCGTATCGAAATTTAAAAAAAGGAAATTGCAGCTGAATAAATAAGCTATCTGGTCCATGCAATGGCTTAGCTGAAAAAAAATTCGTGGACTTTGAAAAAAAAAAGAAAATTTGCAAAATTTTTTTGTCGCACTATATGATAACCGTAGTTCCTAAAAAATTTCGACCAAAAAAACTTTGAGGTTCAAAATGCTTTTTTTTAATCCCCGATACGACCATTTTTCACCTAAATACAGTCACGGAAAAATTTCGGAAATTCATTTGACCCTTTAATTTTTTGCATTAGTTTATAAGGCGCATGTGGAGGGACAAATAGTAGATTTTTTGTTGAGCGTGACGTTGTACATGCGGTGCGGCAGATAGCGAGCGATTCTCCTTATCGGCCAGCATCGTTTAGTAGGATGCATCGATTTACCGGGCCAGCGGCCGGCTATCTTGACCATTGTGTTCATAATACGGCAACTTCCTGTAGGGTGTGGTGTTAGTTCGACCCCAACTTCACCCTCACAACATAGGGGCGTTTTACGCCCAATGGCCCATTAGATAATTACCTGACACCACAGAACGACGCACAGTTAATGCTAAGGTCACTCATATACGGATCGGTATTAATAAAATACCTGCCGCTGCGGAATTTCCATGAATAATGACCCTTAATTAACGGGATAGGGGACTCGCCGGTTTTGCTTCACTCGCGGATTTTTTATCGTCTTTGATTTGCGCCCCACGATACGTTCCAACTAACAATCGTAACCTGTGAAAGGTCGAGCTCTGTGGGGTCATGCAAAATAAAATACTTGTCGGCAGGAATACTAGGTAAAATTTCAATTAAAATGTGAATTCACAATCACATTTTAAACTAAAATGTATTCGGGAAAGTTACCTCTGACCTCAACATAATTCGAAGTAGACTAAAGACTGACAAATTTTCTATTCAATTACCCAGAAAGATGTAAATTTAGTGTAAATTTACAGTCTGTAAAATTACAATTGTTGGCAAAGAAAACAATTACTGTATTTGCACAATTACAATTTTATTTGTAATTTCAATATTATGCAATGTAATATTTGATTCACCGAACTCGAGAAGAAATATTCGGTAAAATTACTTTCTACTACTAATTTCAAATTTAAAGTACATTAATCACATCACAAATTTTCGATTTAGTAACCCCCAAGAAAATGTAATTTTGTTGTTTGTAAAAATACAACTGTAAAATTACAATTGTATGCATAGTACGCAAAGCAAAGAAAACAGTTACTGTTATTTGAATAATTGCAGTTTTGTGTTTAATATTAACATTATACAAATTAATTTTTCATAGTAACATTTGATTTACAGTGTTCGGCAATGTTCGGCAAAATTACTTTCTACAACAGAATTTCAAATTTAAAGTATAGTAGAAATTTTCGATTCAATAACCCGAAAAAATGTAATTTTGTTGTAAAGTTACACTTGTATGCATAATTACAGATATAATCACAATGAAAAGAAAGCAGTTACCGTATTTGCACAATCACAATTTTATTTGTAATATTATTTATTGTAAAATTACAATTGTGGAAATACTACCTTTTCACCTTAACGGAATAATTTGAAGTATATTAAAGAGTTTAACAAATTTTCTATTCGCAAGAAAGTTACCCAAAAAATGTAGAATTACTGCTGTAAAATTACAGTTGTATGCATAAAACCGGGTACTTACTTCCAGTAACACGTGTTGTGAAATCGCAATTAAAATGTGACTTCACAATTACATTGTAAACTAAAAATGTTAGGTAATATTGGTTCTTACCTTAACAGAATTTCAAATTTCAATTAGATTAAAGAGTGACAAATTTATTGTAAAATTACATTGTGGAAATACTACCTTTCTACCTTAACCGAATTTCAAATTTGAAGTAGATTAAAGTTTAACCAATTTTCTATTCTCAGGAAAGTTACCCAAACCAAATGTAAAAATACTGCTGTAAAATTACAGTTGTGTACATAATTGGAGTTATAATCACATAGAAAAGAAAACTGTTACTATGTTTGCACAATTACAATTATATCTGTGACAAATTTATTGTAAAATTACAGTTGTAACTGTAAAATTACAATTGTGTCCATAATTGGAGGTATAATCACAAAGAAAAGAAACTGTTACTATGTCTGCACAATTACAATTATGTATGTGACAAATTTATTGTAAAATTACTGTTGTAACTGTAAAATTACAATTGTGTTCATAATTGGAGGTATAATCACAAAGAAAAGAAACTGTTACTATGTTTGCACAATTACGATTATGTCTGTGACAAGTTTATTGTAAAATTACAGTTGTAACTGTAAAATTACAATTGTGTTCATAATTGGGGGTATAATCACAAAGAAAAGAAACTGTTACTATGTCTGCACAATTATAATTATGTATGTGACAAATTTATTGTAAAATTACAGTTGTACCTATAAAATTACAATTGTGTTCATAATTGGAGGTATAATCACAAAGAAAAGAAACTGTTATTATGTTTGCACAATCACAAATATGTCTGTAAAAAATTTATTGTAAAATTACAGTTGTAACTGTAAAATTACAATTGTGTTCATAATTGGAGGTATAATCACAAAGAAAAAAAAAACAGACTATTTTTATAATTACAATTTTGTTTGTAATAACAATATAATGCAATGTAATTTTTCAAAGGAATATTAGATTTAGAGAATTTGGGACACGAACGGCATCATAAATAAAGTTCTATTCACAGGAAATTTGGTTTTATTAACATTATCCAGTGTTTTATTTTTAATAAAACTATTGAAACCTTATAGACGTATAAGCCCAGTAAAAGTGTATATTTTTCAATAGTTCAAAGCGAAACTGTGAAATTTTTCTTGCTTTATTGAAATTGTTATTTTAATTAGCTTGTTACAAGTAAAACCTTATGGTGTAGCCTGTTTATTATTATGAACTTGACGTATAAGAATTGATGGAATTTTTTTAAACATTTTTTTTAGTCATGAGCCATATTTAGCCACTTAAAAAGTTTGTTTTTGTCTGTGTTCTAGAACTTGACATGGAATTGTGAAAGAAATAAAAATTTATTAATAAAATCGGTTAAAAATATGTTTTATTACGTTACTCATTTGAACTATCTTTCAAAGTTAAAGTAATTACATTGTTGAGAGACGATAGTTTGTTTATATAATTGTGTTACTTATTTAGTTGAATTTAGTTAATTGTGTATAGGGTGACACGTTTTCTGTAAGACTGCAGGGACCACAAGGTTTTAAATATACAAACATATTTTTCTACTTACCAGTTGGCATATTATCTTTTATTATTATTTTATCTTTGTTACAAGATATCATAAAAATGTTTTTTTTGTAACACAGGCTCAAAGCCACTACAGTTTGTTATCACTAACACCCTGTATATTTTTTAATTTATATTCTTTAATTATACAGCGTGCATATAAATTTGTTTTATGTCTAGTTCAGTAAGAATACTGTATGTAAGTTTGAGAAACTAATAAGTCTTATTTTTTTTACAGAATTTACGAGACGCTGCAACCAGAAACGCCAGAATTGGAAACAACACGAAAAGCACAGGAGGTGACAGAAAGATGTATTTTTCAAACATAATGTAATTTAATTTTATTAGAAGGCAACCTGTATGGTTATTACAATATAGTTTCTTATTAAAATTATTTGTGTTTCATTTAAAAAAATACCTAATCTTCATGGTGGAATAGAAAAGCGAAATTAAAAATTTCGAGTGTGAAATGTGGATAAAAAACATTTTGTCAGGGACGAGTGTAACAAAAATACTCTCTCAAAAATTTAATTTGAATAGACTGGAAAGGGAATCTTTTTGTTAAATAATTTCTCCTCTCGGTACAGCCTGGAACAGGAGGGGAGTAGATGGACAGAAAATTTATCAAAAAATCTCCTCACTTTTACCTAGCGAAATTTTAAAATTTAATTTCTGGATTTAATTTAATAATTCTGGAAAGAGAGGGGATTTTCTGTGACACTTTTTGCTCCAAATAATACCCCTCTCGGTCCAGCCTGGACCGAGAGGGGAGTACATCGACAAAATATTTAACAAAAAATTTGGTGGATTTTGCTTAAAATTTAACTAAAATCCGTCCATCACATTTTTTGTTAAAAATCGACAAAAAATGGAGCAAAAAATCTCCTTTGTTTCGTGCCCGGAACAAAAAAGGGGCAAAAAATGGAACAAAAAATCCCCTCTTGGTCCAGCCTGGAACAGGAGGGGAGTACAAAATATTTAACAAAAAATTCCGCTCACGTCTGCTACCGAAATTTTAAAATTTAATTTCAATTATCCTGGAAAGGGGATTTTTTTGTGAAAACTCCCCCTCTCCAGAATTTTGCTTCAATTCAAACTAGTCTTACGTTAAATACATAAAAAAAATCTAGTTTCGTAAGGAGCATTTTTTAAAATATTTTCTAAGTTATAAATTATTATAGGATTAAAAAGCCCTAACACTAAGACCACTTAATTCTTATTACATTTATTTCTTCACATAGCTTTATCCCCTTTGCTATCCTGTAGCTGTGTTGATATGAGCAACAACAAAAATATACTCCTAGTCCCAGACGATTTTAATATAACGCCTGAGTACTAGGAACATACATCTTCGAATGTTGCTCCTTCCACACGACTTTCTGCAGGTATCCTCCTGAAAAAGAAATCGTAACTATTATCGAATTAAAGTTAGTGATCGTACAGAATATTTCTTGAAAAAGTCTAACCTATGTTGCCCACAACAACAATTTTCACAGAGATTTCCTAAACAAAAAAATTATTTAGCCAAAAATTCTCCACAAAAACTGAAAAATTCACATATTACAAATAAAATTGAAAAACGCACACGTATCTCCCGTCCCTCTAAATTTAGCTCAACGCAGAGTCTAAAAATCGATTTAGGAGGGTCGAATTAGTCTTGGAGAATTTTTTCAGAAGTTTCCTGAACAAAAAAAATTTTAGCCAATAATTTTCCAAGGCCCATGGAAAATATTCAAAAATTCTCAAAATATAAAAGTGTCCAAAACATGAACAAAAACATTTATACGCACGTGTACGGAACCGCTGAACACGCTGGGACCGTATTTTCCCTAAATTAAATGGTTTGGTAGGAAATCGCTAAAAATATTCAGAAAAGTTGAACGAGCAAAAAAAAAACGTACACCTATCTCCCGTCCTTCTAAGTTTAGCTCAACGCAGAGTCTAGAAATCGATTTAGGAGGGTCGAATTAGTCTTGGAGAATATTTTCAGAAGTTTCCTGAACAAAAAAAATTTTAGCTAATAATTTTCCAAGGCTATAATAGCCCATGAGAATATTCAAAAATTCTCAAAATATGAAAGTGTCCAAAACATGAACAAAAACATTTATACGCACGTATTCGGAACCGCTGAACACGCTGGTACCGTATTTTTCCTAAATTAAATGGTTTGGTAGGAAATCGCTAAAAATATTCAGAAAGGTTCAACGAACAAAAAAAACGTACACCTATCTCCCGTCCCTCTAAGTTTAGCTCAACGCAGAGTCTAGAAATCGATTTAGGAGGGTCGAATTAGTCATGGAGAATATTTTCAGAAATTTCCTGAACAAAAAAAATGTTAGCCAATAATTTTCCAAGGCTATAATGGCCTATGAAAATATTCAAAAATTTTCAAAATATGAAAGGGTCCAAAACATGAACAAAAACATTTATACGCACGTATTCGGAACCGCTGAACACGCTGGTACCGTATTTTTCCTAAATTAAATGGTTTGGTAGGAAATCGCTAAAAATATTCAGAGATTGATCGTGCAAAAATAAAAACGTACACCTATCTCCCGTCCCTCTAAGTTTAGCGCAACGCAGAGTTTAGAAATCGATTTAGGAGGATCGAATTAGTCATGGAGAATATTTTCAGAAATTTCCTGAACAAAAAAAATGTTAGCCAATAATTTTCCAAGGCTATAGCCCATGAAAATATTAAAAAATTCTCAAAATATGAAAGGGTCCAAAACATGAACAAAAACATTTATACGCACGTATTCGGAACTGCTGAACACGCTGGTACCGTATTTTTCCTAAATTAAATGGTTTGGTAGGAAATCGCTAAATATATTCAGAAAAGTTGAACGAGCAAAAAAAAACGTACACCTATCTCTCGTCCCTCTAAGTTTAGCTCAACGCAGAGTCTAGAAATCGATTTAGGAGGGTCGAATTAGTCTTGGAGAATATTTTCAGAAGTTTCCTGATCAAAAAAAATTTTAGCCAATAATTTTCCAAGGCTATAATAGCCCATGAAAATATTCAAAAATTCTCAAAATATAAAAGTGTCCAAAACATGAACAAAAACATTTATACGCACGTATTCGGAACCACTGAACACGCTGGTACCGTATTTTCCCTAAATTCAATGACTTGTTAGGAAATCGCTAAAAATATTCGGAAAGGTTGAACGAGCAAAAAAAAACGTACACCTATCTCCTGTCCCTCTAAGTTTAGCTCAACGCAGAGTCTAGAAATCGATTTAGGAGGGTCGAATTAGTCTTGGAGAATATTTTCAGAAGTTTCCTGAACAAAAAAATATTTTTGTTAAAACATTTTAACCAATAATTTTCTAAGGCTATAATAATAGCTCATGAAAATATTCAAAAATTCTGAAAATATGAAAGTGTCCAAAAGGGTCGAATTAGTCTTGGAGAATTTTGTCATAAGTTTCCTGAACAAAAAAATATTTAGCCAATAATTTTCCCGCTGAAATCGCTGAAAATTCACAAAATTTGTGAAACAATGCATAACTACAAAGAAAAATTCTAAACATTACCAAGTGAAACTAAAATATGAACAAATTAACGCTCGTACAGACATTACACAGAAAAAACGTATGCATGCTATTACATACTAGAATGAGTAGTATCTCTAATCTGATTTAGAAAGACAGCATTTAATAACTACACAACAGAACACAGTATATTCGCAGTACACAACATTAAACCCCGTCCACTAAACTTTTACTGGCAAACCCCGCGTACTAAATGCCAAGTTTTCTCATTACTGCGTTAAATGATGATTTCATTTGCTTTAACCGTGCGGAAAGGCAAGTAGCATACCGGCGAAAAACATGACACACATACAATTGCAGTTTTTGCCCCCACTCAGCGAAATGGAATCGGTTAGGATGTAAATTTTTTCTAAGCATATTACCCTCGCTGCTAATTTCACGTTTTAATAACGGCAACAATACCGTTTTAATGACGACACATCACGAGCGTTACATTACAGCAACCCGAGTTTGTTGTGAGCAATGTTTGATTATCCGAACCCTTTGCTAATCCGATTTTTCCGCATTTCTTGGATGCAAGAGGGGGCAGCAAATATTTGCTGGAATACCTTCAGTGCAACTCACATAATAAAAGTGTAGATCCCTAGATCTGGGCGAGGTCCGGAACATTTTCATAATTGCAAAAATGTTTATAACAAATTTTAAAAAATACCTGTTTTATTTGAATCTTTTACTTATATCTTGGAACCTACGCAGTTTGGAAGAATATTGAAGAGGAAAAAAGGTTTTAGAATTGAATTTTGCACAAAATCCTGCAAATTAAAAATGTTTAAATTTATTACCGATGTTACAAAATAGCAATAATTGATGAAAAAAGGCAAATTTTGGGCTAATCAACCGATTTCAAATTTTCAAAAACCATTTGAAAAAAATTATTTTGCAAAAACTGTCAAACCGATTTTAATGAAATTTTGTGTGTTGTTTTATTATACTCTAAAGTTTTTTTTTAACAAAATTAGAATGCCCTCGGAGCAATTAAAATATTTAAAAAACTTGATTATTTTGCCTTTTTTCATCAATTATTTTGCAACATCGGTAATAAATTTAGACATTTTTAACTTACAGTATTCGTGCAAAATTCAATTCTAAAACTTTTTTCCTCCTTAATATTCTTCCAAAATGCATAGGCTCCAAGATATAAGTAAACAACAAAGATAAAACAGAAATTTTTAAAAATTTTTTAAACATTTTTGCAATTTTGAAAATGTTCCGGACCTCGACCAGATCTAGGGATCTACACTTTTATTATGTGAGTTGTACTGAAGGTATTCCAGCAAAAATTTCAGATCCGCCCTGGTCTAAAGCTACTTCGAAGAATTTTGTGCAGCCTAAAGTCGATTTGACACATTTTAATGTTTCCTGAAGTCGTTTCTCAGTTGCGGAATGCAATTTCCCAAGAAGAAAGTCAGAACAACGAAACCCTTTTTATGTATTCAAAATTCAAATACAGCCTACCCCGTTCGTGAAAGTACAATATCTCTTTGGAATCAATTACACAAAGCAAATCTCCGTGTTGATTTAAACTTAACAATGTACCTCGAAATTACATGTACCTCTGTGTTCTTAAGGTTCTGGAACTCGTGTTTTGGCCGAAATGCGCGCAATGAGGTGCAAGAACGCCGGGACACCCTCACTATTTAAGCCTACGTCTGTATTTACTTTGCAGATGCAATCTAAACTCTACCACCACGTAACAATGCAATATAAGCTTAGACGTACGTATATATGACAGGAAGGAATTTAACGTTTCTGCAACTACTTTTCTTGACAACATTTACGGTGAGTATTTAGGAAATATAAAT